AAGTAGTTACCGTCTTTGTAGATTACGCGAGATCGTAAGCTAAAGGATGTAATATCAGACGTTATTTCAGGACGAGGATTAACTTGTGAGGAGCCTTGTTAATCCGAACGCAATATCGTATTTAAAAAGCTAGACTTAATCGAATGAAATTTTTCTCTTAAACCAAGTGTTCCCATTTTATCATTGTATAAAAAACTCAATCTTTGTATAAAACTACTAATAGTTTTCCAATTCAGTTACACACACAAATATATATACATATATGTATATATTATTTAAATTGTTTAATAATTTTTCTCATTTCTCAGCGAAACACAGTAGATCATGTCGGCTACGCTTCTCTTCCTCTCTTACGCGAGAATGAAATGATCTCAAAATATTTATTATATCCCCAAATTTCACTTAATGGAATTGTACTGTTACATTTTACGGTTTCGATCGCGCTCGGAATCAGTGTAACAAATCTACTGTTTTAAAATTTAACTACCGGAATAAATGGTAATTCACGCGAGTGTTTTTCAATACGAAGATATCAACGACTGTGTTAAAAGACAAATTTGCGCTGCAAATTTGCATTTAAGTCCTCGCGTTCGTCGAACTCGCTATGCTTATTCCGTTTGAGGCCGAATGATTAAAGTTGAAAAACGCGTTTAATATAAAATTCCTCAAAGTTGAAAAGTGATGTGCGAATTAGGGGAGTAATTAAATACAGAACTGAGCGATATGCGATTCTTTTCCTTTGAAAGAGTGGAAAAATCTGTGGTAACAGGAACATGTGCGTATACACTGCTAGAAAAATCAAAGTGATTAGTCCCTATTTTATAGCTTAATCTTTTATTACTAATTAAAGATTTTAAATCTTTGCACAGAAAACGGTATAATAAATTAAGATAATAAATATCCTGTGAAAATGTTGTTATACAAATTTGAAAATAAGATTTTTATTTTTTTAAAATAAGATTCTTTTTTCTGGAAATTGGTTTAAAAATCATGATTTATGAATTGAATTTAGCTTTAATTTTGGCGAAATAAAACGGAATTCATTAAAATTCTTTACATTTTGCTGTCTTGCCTTTTATTGCTTTTATTTCTGCGCCAGTTATTTTTATGAACGAAAGAATAAATAATAATGAATAATTTATTATTCTGAATATCTCTAGTGGAAAATTATCCACGAAATCTATTGAGCAGACGTCAAGAATGTAAGAGTACAAGACTCGAGCTTGTCGATTAATATCGGCGTTTCGGAAACTATTTGCAATACACAAGCGCAGTCAATATTCTTAATGGCGTCGTCGAAAAGTGATTCGCGTGATCGAAGTATTTACGAGTCGAGCATTTTGCTTTGTGTGTGTGTGTGTTGCGTCTTTCACCGAATAGCTTCCATCGCCGTGCTAATGTTTTCCCGATGAACAGGAATTGCGCGATTCGTCGGAGCCTCGATCGAGTGATTATGCGTGTCGGTGTGATGGTTCGAGAAATTCGTCAACTAGAGGAGGGAAGAAGCTTGACTTTAAATTAAGCTGAGAGTCGAGAGATTAATTTTGATACATCAAAATGCGAGCTTCTGAATTGAAAATCCCCGTTCACTTCAATTGCATTAATAAAATTGCATTTGAACATTGTTGCGAACTGTTTTCTCATTGTTAACACATTTTCTTTGGGATACTGCAAGATTTTATCGTAT